AAGGTTGCATTTCATCAAAGCACCATGTGATCTGATTAAAATCACAATTACATATTTCTGTAACTGATTTTATGAAATTTGTTACATTTATTCCCACATCCACTTGGTTCTGCCACAATAGCAGTAAACGGATGTATAAAGTGAAACATTACACACGTCTAAAGTTCTAAGGGGTGAAATAAAAAATGAAAGTGTTGGTGTAAACAATTAATATATATTGTGTACTATAACTAATGTTTTTGGGAAATCAAACAAAATTTATGATTAATTGAAAATTTTATTTTCAAGCAATAACCACTTGTAAAAAACCCACACTTCGTCACAAGAACAATGTAAAATTTTGTGATTATTTTTTTGCAAATATATGATTATTACACACATAACGTTTGTTTAAATTTATGACATTTACCAAATCATTGTATTTTGGACATTTGTATTCTTCAATATTAAAAATTCTATCATTCGTCGTCAACATTTTTAAAAATTGTTTTTCTGTTGAACCACCTTTGTATGCGATCACTTCGTCTTTGCACAAATTTCTAATATACCAATTTAATATGGGGATGATGTTCTCTTGTTTGTAGGCACATTTTAATTCTTCGGTCACATCAAAATATTGAATGCCGTGCACGTGTGTTTCACAATAACGAACAGTTTTTTTTGTCTTTTGGTGACAAATAATTGAAAGGATAACTTGGCCGAAACAAATAATGATCGATAAACGGATCATTTTTATGAGATAGTTTTACGTCTAGAATAGCCATTTCTCTACATTGAAAATGTTTATGAGGATATATAATGTAAAATCCGTCCATGTCGATGATGTATCTAATATTTTTTAGATTTTGTGTCATTTTGAACCAAAATATTAAAAGTATTTACACGTGACTAAAAATATGTTTGTTCCAACAAACTTCACATAACAATGCTTCATTACTTCCCACCATCCCATTTCTTCCTTCTGCTCTTGTCTTCCTGTAATTTAAGTAAAAAGAATCACATTCACTAATGATCAACTAATGACTGTCATTATTAAAAAAGTATTTTTTAACTACTCTAGTATTCGTAGATGCGGTACACACACAATATTTAAATATAATTTGTTAAATTGTAAATACCAATTTAATTGGTGCCGGCGGGGATCGAACCCGGGTACTGTGAAATTTACAGCTTGCGCTAACCATCTGAGCTACCACGGCTTAATCATATACACACACAATATTTAAATATAATTTGTTAACACTAAATCATACACACGTAAGAAAATAACAGAAAGAAAAGTAACTTTGTCAATAGAATAAACACTTAAAATTGCAATTAACAATTTAATTGGTGCCGGCGGGGATCGAACCCGGGTACTGTGAAATTTACAGCTTGCGCTAACCATCTGAGCTACCACGGCTTAATCATATACACACACACAATATTTAAATATAATTTGTTAACACTAAATCATACACACGTAAGAAAATAACAGAAAGAAAAGTAACTTTGTCAATAGAATAAACACTTAAAATTGCAATTAACAATTTAATTGGTGCCGGCGGGGATCGAACCCGGGTACTGTGAAATTTACAGCTTGCGCTAACCATCTGAGCTACCACGGCTTAATCATGTACACACACACACAATATTTAAATATAATTTGTTAACACTAAATCATACACACGTAAGTAAATAACAGAAAGAAAAGTAAGTTTGTCAATAGAATAAACACTTACATCCATGGCCTTTGATGCGTTGAAGTAACACAAATGTAGTATTGATAGATCCACTGCGGTCAAACGACCATACACTAACTCCATGACTGCACTTGCTTGGTCTTATATAGTACCAGTAAGTAATAATTCTAATCTAAAGAATTTCTGCAGTGGAATTGATAGTAACTTTATGCGTCAACAAGCTTATCTCACATTTTGTTGCTTATCTCAACATTACTTCGTGTCGCGTCTTGTTCAGTGTATTGATGACTCAAATACGTTTTGTATAACACAAAATAATGCAATTTAATATTTAGAAATCATTATAATTGATCATTCCTATGTTAGTCATTGAGTAGATTGTACTGTAATAATCTACTAATAGCAGTAATATCATGGATACACTAGATGTACAACAACAAATGAAAAAGATTCACCCCACTCTAGAAAATAATGTTTATGCTGCCAATAAACTGCCCATGTACACCCACGTACCAACGTATATAATATGCAATTTGGATACAGATGATAAACCAGGGTCACATTGGGTAGCTTTATATATCGATACGAATGACGTCGGTCAATATTTTGATTCATTCGGACGAGCACCTGTACGATATCATCTAGAGTTTTAAAAAGATGGAACTGGAATGTTGATAGGATTCAGAATGAGTGGACTTCAGTTTGTGGCGAATATTGCTTAATCTATTTGCTATATAAGTTTCAGGGATGTTCAATGCAGAGTTTTACGAGTATATTTACAGGGAACACATTGTACAACGATATTTTAGTGGATGAGATGTTTCGCTCCTATTTTGTAGATAATAAGTAATAAGATTTTGTATTTTGTAAATAAAAATTTTAACAAAATTAGGTAATGTGTTTTATTGATGAGTCAGATTAGTGTAGATAGGAACAAAGGAGTATAATACAATAGCACCACGCTGAGGAAGAATAGATAATGACGGTATTCAATGAACAATAGATAAATAGATAAGAACAATGGAGCGCTAATGACGGTGGAGGCCTTCACCGGATTTCAATTAGATAAGAGTTAATTGATCTGCACATCTCCGGAACCGTGCATCCTACGCAAAAATGGACCGCAGATTCGTGATCAGAGCATGCCAAAACCTTTTTTGTTAAGGATCGTGAGTCGACGAACGTCGTACTTGTACCACTTCTGACTCAGTGAGCAAGAACTGGAACAACGTAACTACTCTGGTTTCACAAGGGGTCGCTCGACAACTGATACAGATGTTGAGCTGGTTAAATATATATTTAAGGAAATTAATATATTAACTCTGGCCTCTCAATACATTTATGAAAATGTAATGTACGTACCAGGCGGTCCCATAATGAACTGGCCTGATATAGTTCAACGCGACATGTCGATACATGTTGTGTTGCATTAAATAGTACGTTTATCGTGCACTTAATATAAGAAACATGCATAGACATGAAATGCTTAGTCTTAGTTTAACAGGCATTTGAATAACGAGAGTCGCGTATTTTTTCAAAATGTCGAAAACTGAGTATCGAAGTGTCATAAAGTTTCTGTTTAAAGAAGGTTTATCCCCTGCCCAAATAAAAAAACGATTGGATGGCGTGTATAAGGAGTCTGCCCCCTCCTATAGCACAGTGAAAAATTGGGTGAAAGAGTTTCGCCTCGGGAGAGAAACCGTCGAAGACTTTGGCCACGACGGTCGACCTGTGGAAGTGCTCACTCCCGAAACGATTGCTCTTATCGAAGAGGAGGTTCTGAGTGACCGCCGTTTGAAGATTAGAGAAATTGCAGCAAGGCTTGGGCTCTCTAAGAGTACCATTTATCGCGCGATCCATGAACATCTTCACATGAAAAAAGTGAGTGCAAGATGGGTACCGAAACTTCTTTCAGCGGTGCAGAGACAGGAAAGAGTGCGCTGCGCTTCGGAGTTTTTGGATCTTTGTGGCGAAAATCCAAAGACTGTGATCGAGCGGCTAGTGACTGGTGATGAAACTATGATCTTGTATTATGATCCACAAAGCAAGCGCGAGTCAATGGAATGGTGTTATAAGGGTGAAAAGCCCCCTAGAAAGGCAACAATCGACTAAAAAACTGATGTGCACAATATTTTGGGATTTTCAAGGCATTTTGATAGTGGATTTTAAAGAACGTAATACAGTCGTGAACGGCGAATATTATGCTTCTTTAATATATAAATTACGAGACAAGATAAAGGAAAAACGAAGAGGCAAGCTGTCTAAAGGTGTCCTGTTGCTCCATGACAACGCCCCTGTTCATACCGCTGGTGTTTCGAAGGATGCAGTTCGTCAATGCGGGTTCACAGAAGTTCAACATCCACCTTACAGTCCAGACATGGCCCCGTCCGACTATTATTTATTTCCAAATTTAAAGCGGGACTTAAAAGGAAGAAAATTTTCAAGCGATGAAGAGTTGCAGGCGGCCGTCTTCAGTCACTTTGAGGATAAAAAATGTGATTATTTTTATAAAGGTTTAGAGATGTTGATTCATAGATGTCAGAAGTGTGTTAGTATTCATGGTGATTATATTGAAAAATAAAATTGGTTTCGTTTCATTTCCTTCATTGGCTCATAGTTAGGCCAATTCATTATGGGACCGCCTAGTACACAAAAATAAAAGTAGTTTTGCGAAAATAAGTGATATTCATTTTGTAAATACTAGGAACAGACACAAGCTAGTAGTACCAGTTACTCGACTCCACCGAGTCAGTAATTCATTCTTGGGGCGATGTATACGCTTTTACAACAAAATCCCAGAAAATATACAAAATTTATCATACACAAAGTTCAAAAATGTTATTAAACTAAGTTTGTATAAAAAGGGTTATTATAATATTAAGGAATTTATGGATGATAATAACCCCTGGGAAGGATGATCGCTACCAAGCTATTTCTAATTTGTCTTGTGTTGTAAACATTATTGTAAGCTATTATTGGAAAAAAAATAGTCCCGCTGGGTTTCTTGCTGGTTCTTCCCAGGACAGAGGCTTTTTTGCGAACCAGTGGTAAATAAAAAAGTGACTTTCAATAAGTATTGTTATAATCTACATTGAATAAAAAAGTTTATGTTTCTGTTTCTGTAAGCGAGTGTCGATGACACAAAAAACTTTCAACTCGCTTAGTAGCGAACTAGCTAGCTAGTCTCAACACATTTCTTACGGAGTACTTTTTGTATACCTGAATATTTCTATAGGCCAAAGGATCTTAGTCCTTCAACTCTCTCAATAAACCACTGGAAGCACCATATTCATCGCGTTTTTCTATCCACGATCTTACCCATTTTCTTTTCTCTTTCAAGTTTTTCTTTAGTTTTCGTTGTAAATCCTTCTTGATAACATGAGCTAAAAGAACTACGCTCGCGTGAACTTCCTTTGACATTTTAGCTTAAACTGCCAAAACGAAAAGATGCTCGCAACCAGTTAAACAGCAGCGATGATGACACACTGCTAATTAACTAGCTTACAGGCCAACACACCAGCGAATGGCGAGTAAATTAGCCTATTATTAATTTTACTATATTTAAATTTAAATTATACTATATTTTTCAAGCAGCTCAAAAGCAGATTGTAAAAAAGCATAATGACACGGAGCGAGTTTTCAAGCTGCTCGTGAACTCAGCGGCTTGTAGTTTGTAAACTAGCCCAGTGTCATCGAGTCTTTTTTTTAAAGAATATTAACAATGCTATAAACATTACTAATATTCCCCTTAACCACTAGTGGTAAGCTTAAATTACTTGTGCTGCGAGTGGTTCACGCCAGTAGTCGAATGGCGGATTCGAACCCACGACCTTTATGAGTTCGCGGTCCGCGCCCTGTCATTAGGCTACTGTCGCTTCTAGGATTCTAGGATTGTACTTCTGCTAGTGTCAAGTAGGTACCTACCTAATAAGAAATTATATGAAATAAATAAAAATAAAGTACAATTCTTTACAATATATTGGTCATGTGCTGATTCGCATCATACTTAAAAAATATGTAGCAAGCTAATTCGCAGTATTTGGGAGATATTGAGCTAGATTGAGCTAGTGGTGCCATCTCTAAAACCTGCCCCCAGGACCGGAAGCGTAAGTTCCCCAGATTTTGGAGCTTTCACCCCGGACATTTCAATACTTTTTCATTCACTTACATTTTGATTAAAATATATTTTACTCCGTACTTGATAGAATAAAACTTTAATTTTAAGCCTCTTTTGTTGCATGAAATAGTGTGTTTAATTGTTCTTGTGAGGACAAGAGAGAAATACCTAACCCATAGCTTTTATTTACATAAATTATGGGAACGGGATCTGATCGAAAACCCGGACTTTTATTGTAGTCCGGATTGCACCCGGACTACAATTTAAACCCCGCCCGGACACTCCCCGGACGTCTTCCAAACTAGGACAAATCCGGGGAAACCCGGACGGATGGCAGCCCTAGCTTGAACCAACAGATAGTTGATGGCGATAGTATATTTGAGGTTCACTTCACTATCGGAGCACGTGTTTCACCATTTACACTAATATGCGCAGACATTTAATAGGTAAGTACAAAAAATCGCAATACTTATATATCGAAATCCAATTCAAACCATTATATTAATTAAACAATAATATACAGGAGCAGCAGTCCGCCGACGCGGCGGTAAAGTTCTCGCATAACCTCTTCCCCCCCCCCTGTCACTAATTAGTACAAATTGAACTAGAATTTGCAAAAAAATTAAAATCAATTGTACCCCATACGTGGTAGAGCCACGCTGCAGCTATATTTTATGTAGTTGTAACACGAATGCGTCGGCTCGACCGGGGAAGGTCCACACTCTCACAGAATACCAGTGTCAAATAACAGCGTAATACTGCTGTATTTCGTACGTAGTGTAGATATCCAGATACCCTTTTTACTGGAAACGAGGCATTTCATCTTAATCCTCAGGGGTGACAGCGCTTCTGCATTTTGATTCTTAATGGGGGATAAATGTAGATGTCTATAGGCCACAGCATGCACTTACCATCAGATGAACTGTGTGCTCGTTTGTCACCCTTATTCTATATAAAAAACAAGTAGAAGGTTGTGCCTCAATATTTAAATTTATAGACTGAGTAACCTCTTATTTCACAAAATAGGTTCAAGTACTATATAGTACTAGGTACCATGAGCTAATACAAGTTCCCGCAGCATTGTAAAATTCATTATTGATATCCTGTTTTACTCCGTCATTAGAAATTCTTAAATAATGAGGGCTCCTTCTTCCGCTCCGCTCACCAGATGTCGCCAGTTGACAATGAGGTGGAGTTTTGTCCTTTAATTAGGAAGTTTGTTATGAATAAAAAATTATCAGTATTATATTAATACACAAAACAATGGTTTGCTCTTTTATTTTCTGCACATTTTTAACTCTTTTTTTAAATTTTTAAACATTTATAATATTCTGTGGTTTTGGTTATTTATTTTTAATGTAATGAATATAAAATATAACCGATAGAAAAAAAAAACACTTTTGCAACAAATAATTACCCCACTATTTTCATAGCAAATCTGTCAAATATTTCACTTCATTTTAAGTGGCGCCGCCCTGGTGGCAGAAAAAGTTGTTGATGCCCGCATTATTATTATTAATAAGAAATCGAAAAAAAAACATTATTTTTTTTATTGGAAAATGTGATAAACGAGCACAGAGTCAACCTGATGGTAAGTGGTTGCTGTGGCTCATATACATCTACATCTATCCTCAATTATGAATCAAAATGCAGATGCATTGTCACCCGTGAGGACTAAGATGGAATACCTCGTTTTCAGTAAAAAGAGTCTCCGGTTCTCTACACTCACCATACGAAACACAGCAGCATTAAGCTACTATTTGATGCTAGTATTCTGTGAGAGTGTGGTCCTTCCCCGGTCGAGCCGACCCATTTGTGCTACAACTATACTACTAATATAAATGCAGCATGGCTCTACCACATATGAAAGATAGTAAAAGCCATAAGATAAAAAAGCTCACGCTTAACAGGTAGCAGTCAATGACCCTATTATTCTTGGTCTAACGAGATTTTGGTCAAATATTTACATACCAGATCAATTTCATTTAAAAGAGGAATAAAAAACAAAAAGAAAAAACCACCAGACTGCTAGTTTCCTATTAAATATAACCAGAAACTAAAAAAGTATAATTTTCTAATGCAACCTTTTTGGACGATCACTGCTTGGAACTATTAGTCTTAGTTTTTTTTTATAGGATAGGGTGACAAACGAGCACACAGTCCACCTGATGGTAAGTGGTTTCTGTGGCTCATAGATATCTACTACCATCCTCGATTACGAATCAAAATGCAGATGCGTTGACACCCGTGAGGACTCAGATGGAATGCCTCATTTACAGTAGTTTATTGTACTAATTTATTTTAATTTAAATAGTACTAACCAATTTTAAAACTAAAAAATAATAATTTCTACATAATAGCTTCTGAAGTTTGTTCTAAGGCAGTGTCATTCCTTGAGTGTCATACGAGACGTCAGGGGAACAGCACTGAAACAGCAGATTAGCAGGAGCATCTTCTTGATAACGACTCAGCGTGGCATCAGTGGCCTATATCCCCACTATGAGGCAATCTTTACGGAAGGCCTATGTACAGTAGTAGACTTGAAAGACTGTGATAACAATGATGAATTATCTATTTAGATGACAAAAAACTATAATTTTAGTAAAAAACTTAAAAATAATACAAAGAGTACAGTTTCAATAATATTATATTTTAAAAGATATCACAATGGATGAAAATAATGTTTTAACATTTTTGATCCTCGAGTTGTAAAGAAATTCTTGAGTTCTGTAATGTAGCTTTTAGAGTAAATGGTTTGACTAAATTCTCTACATTGAATGACTCCACTGCAAATTCTTGACTGTTAGGGTTTTCATGCAAAGTGAAGCTTATATCCCTAACATCTTGGTCAGTTTCTACAGTACAAATATTTTGGAAAAATGGTGGGGTTCCTTGTTTAAACAATTTAACTGTTTGATCTAGGTATTTCATATAAATATCTTTTCCTAAAAACTCTATTTCAGTATTAATATCAGTAAAACTAGATTCAGGCATGTCAAGTAATAAGCCTGCTTCACGAGCACAACCAACAGCAATAACTTCATCGGGACTAATTCCTGATAAAACTTCAGCTTCTGGCAACAAATTAGCAATTGCAGACTGTAATTTTGGTATTTTCATACTTCCACCACAGAGGACTATTTTAGATATTGTCCCTTCAAAACTTTCCATTGCTTTTTGTGCTGGTTCAATATATGCAGGTATTTTAGAAGAAATTATGTTTTCAAATCTTGCTCTTGTTACATTCTGGCTCCAATCTACACCGTCTAGAAGGGATTCAATGAACACATGTGCTGAGTTTAGAGTTGATAATACGTGTTTGCAATTGTCAGCATGGTGTAATAATTTTGCCATAGCTCTGCGACTTTCATGTGGATCCAACTTCCACCTTTGCCTGAATTCCTGTGCAATGTATTCTGCAAGGTCTTTAGTCAAACACTGTCCACCTAAATCTGAACGGAATATGTTTTTCTCTACAGTCATAAACCCTCCTGATACTTTAACTACTGAAGCGTCACAAGTAGATCCTCCCAATCTGTAAACTAATACATTTATATCCTCAGTTGTATCTTCAATATTATATGCCAGCAGTGCAGCAGCTGGTTCGCTAATCACTTGCAGAACATCAAATCCCGCTAATTCAGCACATTTGACAAGTCTTTCACGACTAGTACTTGACCAATGCAATGGTGCGGCTAAAACTAACTTTAAGTCCCCATCATTCCCAACAGAATGACTAGCAATAGTGAAAAGTTTTGCGTACATTTTTGTTGCAATTTTGTCGGGACTGGAATATATAGTGGTTTCACTTGTTTCAAATTCATAAACTAAGTTTTCTTCGTTTTGAATACGACATGAAGATGATGCTTCTACATATAAAAGGTCATCTTCTGTAAAATCACAATTCATAAGGCGCTTATTGTGTTTTATAATGGCTTTAGATGAGGGTTGCCCTGATTTAGCCGGCAATCCGATTTCCCATTCTGAACCGTTTAATGCAACAATGGCTGGTGTCACCCTGTCTCCTGCATCGTTAGCTACAACTGTAGGTGTACCACTTGCAAATGCAGCCAAACAACCAGAACTATTACCTACATGAATTCCGTATGCTGTAGCCATTTTATTGAGGTTATTTATTACACTTCATCTACACTATTATATAAGATAAATGAAATTTAACTGTTTAATTTAAAATTAAAGTGTTATATCATAAAACAATAAGCTCAAAACAAATTCAATAAAATAATTATAATAGAAACTGGACTTCATGCATGACTTCATGCTAGGGATGTTCGATGATCAT